TGTTCATCAACTGAGGAATGGATAAAAAAGATGTGGTAGTTTTATACAATGGAGTGCTACTCAGCTATAAAGAATGATCACATTGAGATATTTATAAATAAATGGATGCAGCTTGAGACCATCTTCATAAGCGAAATAAATCAAACTCATATGTATAAATACCGAACTTTCCCTAGTGTAAGAATACATAAATGGTATGGTAGTCATGATTCCCCATTATATTGCTTTGAAGCTTTATAATGTTTTCATTCATTAGCTGGAATAGTTTTATTTTGGGTTGTTTGATTTTATTGTCTGTGATGGTATGAACAGCTATTTTGAAGAAAACAAGACATTATAATAGCTAATGCTGATTTAATATCATCTTGTTTGAAGTCCCACCAAGCTTTTGTTCTTCTGTCTCCATTGGTTTTATCATGTTGTATCTTATTGGATTTTATTGTATGTGATAGTATAAACAAAATTTTTTATGGACAAGGAGATAATATAGTAACCATTGTTCATTTTCTGTTAGTTGGTTCTGAATACCCTGTAATACTTACATTCTCTCGAATCATTTTACACTGTCTTGTTATGTTTGATACTATAGTATATGAAGGTATACTCAAATATTTCAAGGAAAGAGACACTGTGGTAGCTACTGTTATGTCAGGTTGTCTTGTAGTGAAACATTATGTTGCTTAACTTGTTCTGTTCTGACCTGTTTCGTTATGTCCTCTTTTAATCTTTTTTTAAAATAAAAAAATTATTTTTCATATAAGTAAATTCTTTTATAACCTGGGCATAAGAAAAAGCTTCCTAGCCTGTTACTAAAAACTCAGAGCTAATAAAAGAAAACACTGACTGGCTTGACACAACAACAACAACAAAAACCACTTTCCATGACAAGTCCCATGAGTGAAGTAAAAAGATTAATGATAAGTGAGGAAGCTTTGAATATCACAGACTAAAGGTTAATACCAGTTATCCATAAGAGGCTCATATACATGGAGGGTACAAGAACTAATACCCAATAGAAAATAGGCAAAAAGACACGAACAGGCAATTCAGAAAAAGAGCTATTAAAAATAACCCTTAAACATACAAAAAAAATGTTCAGGTTTTCTCATTACAAGGGAATGAAAAATTGAAATTACACTGAAATACTGTATCGTGCCCATGAGATCGGCAAAAATTCCACCTCTCCATGATGCTTTCTATTGGCGATCGTGGGTAAACAGGTGGGAATGGGACCTGGCAGAGCCCTGTACTAGGAAGTGTGGCAACACCTACAGACCTGCCCTACAGCTACATCTTCAAGCACAAGGAACATACACACAGCACTGCAGCACTATTTGTAATTGTGAAATCCAGGAAAATATCTATGATATACATAGGAAAGCAGATAAATAAAATATGGTATGCACAAATAATGGGGACTTACACAGCTTTGGAACAGAATGAGGAAGACCTCTGTGAACTGACATGAGGTGATTTCCATGAGAGATTATTAAATGAATAAGGCCTTTAAAAGCATACATAATATACTATTTTTTAAGCAGGGAAAGAGAAAAATCATAATTTTGCTTATTTTCACAAAAAGCAATGTAAGTGTAAGCAAAAAGCAGTTAAATTGGTTACCTACAAAGAGAGAATTAGACACAAAAAAGAATATGCCTTCAAGTATACCTCTTCATATAGTTTTGACTTTTAAAAGCATGCTAGTATTATATTTTTAAAATTATATTAAATCAATAACAATGGGAAAGAAAATCTTCAAACTTAAAGCAAACTGAAAAAAAAAAAGAACCCAGCTATATCTCAGATAAATACTATAATTATAATGAAGAGCCAAAAAAAAGAATGAAAGACTAATTCAAGTAATTTATGAACATGGCAGGTTGGGACAGAAGGCAAAGGGAAAAAAATCATTAGTGGTAATAGTATTGGTGAAACAGTTTTCTAAGTAGTTTAAATGTAATAAAAAAATTTAAAAAATCAGTGAACAATTATGAGAGACCACAATTCACTGTGGGAGAACATATATAAATATGGGGGGAGGAGGCAGAAAACAACTCTGTGGAATTGAAATGGAGTTGTAGATATCAGTGTGGATTCATGATTTCTAAAAGAGAAACATGTGCATGTGTATATGTAAGTATATGTATATTTATATGTGCATATATGTGGATATTCTGTTATGTACAAAAGGTGTGTGAATGTGTAAGTGAATACGTGTGGGTGTGGTTCCTATTTCTGTCTCTTAAAAGGGCCCAGAAGCAAAGATACTCAGCAGCAATAAACACGTTTAGTGCCAAGACTGTGGGTGGGGCTATCATCCACGCAGAGAAACCAGAGCTCCTCAGAGAAATGGCTGGCTCCAGGGTTAGTGCAGGGCAGCTACACGATGAGCCCACAGCATCTTCTTCCACCAGAAAGGAAGGACATGTTCAAGACAGGGAAAGTGACATACTGACATGGGAGTGGGCTTAAGGGACTTTCATCAAATCTGAGACAATTCAATCACCAGAACACCAGGTGTGGTCAAAAATATTGTGAATATTTAAATTAAAAACAAAGCATTACAGTAAAAGACACATTGCCATTGATCCCCCTCAAAATACTCCCCTTAACTTTGAACACATCATCCCATTGTTCTTGTCACTTTCTGAGATGGTTCCAGAAGTGCTATTTAGTGACAGCCTTTTCTTGTCTGCCTTGATGCCCTGAGTCCATTCAAAATATTTATGGGAAATTCTGTCAAATAAAAACATCATGTACAAGGTGTCCTCATCCACCTTATTCACCAAATCAGGCACTGTGTAACTGCTGACTTTTGTCCAAAGTCAGAATGACCATGAAAAGTAAACATTTTGAATCCATTCAGGACATCAAGACATCATAACAGTGCAACTAAAGATGCAATATTTTTTACAAAATTAACCATTCACTGTATTTTTTAAAATCACATCTCAGGGCTGGGGATTTAGCTCAGCGGCATAAGTGCCTGCCTTGCAAGCGTGCAGTCGTGAGTTCGATCCCTGGTACCGATAAAAAAAAAATATGGCTTAAAATCACGTCTCACAACTGATATACATGGAGACAGTGTAGGAGTTGGAAAAGGAACATTTGCAATTATCATGTTAACAACAGGATGAGGCAGGAGTCGTCAATGCATGCTGCATACAAGGAGCTGCCTGACAGCAAGACATACAAATTATGGCCCTGTTGTGAATGTGTTAAACTGCTTTCCCACAGACTGCTTCCTATTTCCAGGGAAGGAAAAAAGCAACTTCCATATCATGGAGAAATCAGGCAATACCTGGACTGGGAAATCAAATAACTTCACCAATGAAGGCCTGTGATGTATCTGCATATGATTCCCCAAGAAGCATGAACAGACCCACGCAAGAGTCTGGCCAAGAGCAAGAGCAGAAGGAAACATTAGACACTTAAAATGGGAAGATTTTATTTAAAAATAAGGGAGGCATGGTACTCTTCAGGGTGACAATGCTGGGGACGGGTATTTAGCTCAGGGGCACAGTGCCTGCCTGGCAAACGTCAGGGGGACCCATCTCACAAAAATCTTCAGGACCCACCTCACAAAAAAAAGTGTGGAAGTAGATGGGCGCAGTGGGACACATTTCTAATCCCAGCTACTCTTCAGGTTTTTGGTTTGTCTGTTTGTTTGTTTACAGGTTAAGGCAGGAAGATCATAAGTTCAAAGACAGTCTGGGTGACTTATAGAGACCTTATCTGGAAATATACAGAGGGCTAGAGGTTGTAGCTCTGTGACAAAGCACTCTCCTAGTATGCATGAGGCCCTAGATTCAATTCCCCTGTATGTCAAAAAAGAAAAAAGAAGGAAGGAAAGAAGCAAGAAACGGAGAAAAGAAAAAGAAACAAAAGACAAGAAAGGCTGTAAAAATGTTCTTGATTAAAGTAGGCTAAGGAGACATAACTAAATGCCACGTGTGACTCTGGATGGAATCCTCTGCTGGAGGGGAGAATGCTATGAAGGACACAGTAGGAAGTTAACTGACAAATTTGAAATATGATTGATAAATTTAAGTGTTGTGTGAATGTTAAAGCTAAGGGTCAACCATTCCATGATCGTGTCGGCAAATGTGCCTCTTTTGGGAAACACAGCTGAAGGATTCAGGGTAGAGTCTATTATCATGTGTGCAACTTACTCTCAAATAGTTGAGGGAAAAACACACCCATGTGCACACTCAAACTTGTACACAGGTAATGACTGGGAGCACAGACGATGAAGCAAATGAGGTGAAATTTTAACAAGCCAGGGATATAAGGGTACAAGGGTTTTCTTTCAATTAATTTTAGTTTTGCCACTTAATATGATTGGAAATTATTTTGAAATTTAAATAGTTTCCTCTATGTTCCAATACTTGCAAGGCACACCCTTCCTGTGGGTGTACACTGTCCTCAGCCAGGGGACAATTCTGGGATCCAGTAAATCTGATTTGATGGATGGACTTGGAGAAGGGAGGTCTCTGCTCCCTTGTCTGTAGGGTGCTGCCCACTGCTTGGGCACTGGGACAATTAAGGGAGATCTTAAGTGCAATTGCTTAGCCGAGGGCCTGCCATAGGAAAGGTGGTCCAATGCCAACTGTCACTTCAGTGCTGTTTTTCATCACAAACCTTTTCAGGGTCACGGCTGACAGCTGCCTGAGGCACCTGGTCCTCCTGCAAGACTGTGAGCTGATAAGAAAGTCTGTCCAGGACTGGCCTGAGGCAGGCTCCAGCTGGAAAAAGCTTTGTTGTGGTCTTGTGTCCCTGTCAGGCCTCAGGCTTCAGGAGGCTCTTGCACTCTTGATTTGACTTAATTCACAATTGTCCTCACTTGCAGAATCCTTTCCTTTGGGATTTATCTCCTCAAATCCCACTCCTTGAGACTGCTGGAGCTATTCCACTCCCCTCCCCTAGTTCCTTCTCCAAGTTAGGATCTGATGTGCTATTTCACAATGAAGTCACTTATGGTCCTATCTCTTCTCTCACAGGGGATCCCTTAGGGACAACATCATCATTCTCAAATTCCGGACAAAAGAGCTGTGATCCCTAACAAACAGGTAGTATGTGTTTGTATATATGTGTTCAGGTACATCTCTTTGTGTGTGGGTGTGTACATCTATCTTTGAGCTTAGTATTTTCTTAGACATTTTAGAATCTGCACTCAGGTCAGGACTGCTCCAATGAGGGTTCTGGATCTACCCCTCCTCTGGTCCATTGTTTTGAGGAGGTGCAGTTGTGTCGCCATCTTTCATCTACCCCTTCAGGCTTGCTTTCCACCTTTCTCCACTAGCAGTGCTCACCCAGGAAGCTGAACCTTAAGGAACATAGCTATGGACTCCCTAAACTGCCTCCTTATGCTTCACCTAATGCAGCCTCAAGTAGGGACTGCAGAGATGGAGAGAAGAGGTCAAGGTTGGGGAATTTAGTGCCTTGTCTCCCTTTCTTCAGGGATGCCTCAGGCTGGCTGTGACACTGGGCCAGAGGTCACAGCCAAACAAGGTGGCGCCTCATCCTATACTCTCTGTTCCTGTTCTCAGCACCTGTCCTCCTCTTTGCCTTTCAGCCCAAGGATGGATCAGTTCCCCAACGTCACACACTTGTTGCTGCACTGGTCTCAAGTTTCCTACATCTTGCACTGGTCTTTGGATTCAACTGCTTCAGGTTGCCCCACTGAGTGTGCATGTGCAACTGCATCATGCAGGCACAGACTCACACATACCTATGGAAGGCATGGTGCACACCCCCATGAAATGCCCAGATTTGTGTTTGCATGAGGTCAGGGTACTATGCTCAGTGATGGGCTCTACTGCGAGGCCATTGGGCTGCAGAACAAAAAGCCAGGGCTGCCACTTCAGGCTTCCCTCCAAGGTATGCTGCTTCCTGCTCTGCTTTTGTCATCTTTTCATAAGTTATTGTTAATTGAGAAACATTACAAGAAGGGAATTAAAAGAGAGAAAAGTTGGTAGAGGAATGTCTTTCTTCTTGGCTCAACCTTTTGTTAGCAACTCTTTAGGAGCCTGATTCAATGAGACGAACATGTGGCAGTGCATGTTCTTCAAAATCAGTTCCAAGAGACACTCAGGGCTCTATTATTCATTCCATTAAATAAAAATATTAGCTAATGTGTGTTGCAGCATCAGAGTGGGTCTGGCAACTTCTCTGATGCATTGTCTACTTGAAAGTGGAGAAGGCCTTTCATGTGCTGCCTCTGTTAAGTCCATTCTGTCTTCTACCCTGGGTGGGAGACACCGGCAGGCCTAGGATAAAGCAGTAGAGTCAATTGGGGAGCCCACTGTGCCAAGGTCCTTGTGAAAGGTTGTCTCTTTCCAGCCCTGCCCTGCACTGGTGCCCCTGATGGTGGCTGTGGAGCTGGGCGAGGCCCTGCCCATGCCTAGGGGGTGCCTTTCCATATCTCAGGCCAGAACTGATTTTGAAGTGGCCAGAGGGCCTGATGACCAGGGACTTGAGGCTTAAATCAAAACTGCTTTCCAGTTTTGTTGGCTCCTCATTGCTGCTTTTATCTCTAAAGGAAATACTGCAATGGAAATGAATTCCACTTTTCCAGTAGGCACAAACAAATCTGGATTTCAGCACTCTGGTGTGTCATCCAGAGGTGTCATGGTGATGTTTTACCGGGCCCCTAGAAAGACTATGGGCCTCTTAGCTCAGTGTAGCACCTCCTCATCTTTGAGGCCTGGGGTAAGACCAGAGTCCCTAGCTGATAGGGTGCTCCTGAGCAGGGAAGCAGGGAGTGTGCCTGATGCCCTGGGTTACAGAGTAGCTCAATGCATGTGTTTCAGGGACTTCCAGGTAGCTGGGAAACGAAACTGCTCAAGGCCCCACATGTATGGGGAGTGCTGGTGGTTGGAGAAGGCAAAGATTCCCAAGCTGGGCGGACTGACAGGGGCTTACCAGGTTCCTGGGGAGGTGAGCTGTAACAGACGGTTAAACACAGGGAAGGAGCGAGGAGAGGGAAGGGCACTGAGGCATGTGAGTAACAGGCCCAATGGCTAGGGGCACAGGACCAAGCATGCGTTGGGGAAATGGCCAGCCTGGAAGAGCCTCGACTGCAAATAAAAGTATTTCTTCTTCCTTCCTTTTGTTTCCTTGAGCAATCCTAAGCTCAGTATTAATCTCCAAAGACCTATCTTGTTGATAAATGTTGATTTCCCCTGCACACCTGTGCATATTCCAGATGAAAATGTATTATAAAATCACTCCATTCAACTGGTGATTACCATGGCAATCAGGCGCACTCACTGACAGGCCAGCACTCCTCTTGAAGACAAGATTCTGCGATAGGAGCTTTCGTGTCACTTTTGCCATACGGGGGAGGGAGGAGAATGAAGCAGGCATGGCGAGTTTGGGGGATGGTGTTCTTCCCTCGGGAAGTCTTGGCAGGCAGCAGAGCCCAAGAGCCTATTAGGGGTTTGCAGGAAGATGGGAATTGGGTCAGATGGAGGGCAAGTCAGTAGCAGGCAGGTGCTGCATACCTTGGTGCTCAAAGCTGACTACACAGGAGGAACAGCTTTGCAGGATCCATGTGTAGAGAGCACCTGAACTATCAGGCACCCATGGTCAGGCATCTTGACTAGAATATTCATCCCTGGATCAAAAAGCACCTCTACAGCCTCCTGGAATATTACAGAGATGTGTCACAGGGCAAGCAGACAGCAAGGACCAGATTGAACATGCAAGCCAGGGCACTGCTCTTTAACACGAGTTTTTCTTTTGATGCAAGAATGTGTGAAGCTGAGTCATGCAAAAAGAGAAGTGTCCTCATGGAGTTGATGTGTTGACACCACATCCCCTCCTCCCCCTGACAAGAGGACAGAAAAGATAGGATGCTGGACTTCGCACAAACACTGTCTCACGTTTTCCTGACCCCTGCACTATCCCTTCTGTACAAGGAGACAGAGCCCCAAGGGCCCAAAGCTGCAGAGTAACAAGAGTGTGTAGGACTGAAACTCAGACCTGCTTGCTCCCCACTCTTGGGGATTCGCTGCCTTCCCAGAGATGTCTTGCCTGCATCTGGCTGTTACCAGCCAAAACTAGGTTCCAGGCCAGTCAGCCATTGTTCCTTTACTTCATCCAGGGCCATGGAGGCTCAGCCTAAGGCTCTATGGCTCCAGGACACTCACATCCTAAAAGGGTAAAAAAAACACCAATAGCATTTGTTCCCTCCCACAGTTGTCCCCACGTGTTAGATGTGATCTAAAAATGACAACCACCATCACAATAGTCATGGCTGCACTTTTTACTTAGTTATCCTGGGCCCTGTGCTACCTGTCCTTTTCATATAGTGGTATGTATCTTTGATGCCATTATTTCACATTGTACCAGACACTGTATCATGCAAACTGGGCCAGGAGCCATAGGCTCTGTGTTACCGAATGCACCCCACCAGCAGCAGCTGACAGGCCATTATTCTGTGTCCTGCAAACTCTACAGTGATAAGGAAACTCTACCAATTTGATGCTTTATCTGCGTGCAGTTTGAGGAAAGATATTATTTCAATCGAGATAATGATTCTATTTCTTGGACTGAAATGAGATTTTTTTTTTCATGGTCTCATGGGGATGCCACCAAAATCCATCTTGAGGCTGGAGCAGCAATGCACCAGTTAAAGGATTTCTTACAACCTGGGAGAGTGTAAACATGAAGAACTAAAAGCAGAGACCTCATTTGCAAGAGAAAAACATACACATCAGACCTACATGGATACCATGTAAATTCTACTTACACATTTGTAGGCATGACATAAATCCACAAGACCGAAACTCAGAAGCTAAGTGGGCACTGTGAGTGGGAAAGTCTGTGATAAACCCTATGACGATACTAAAGATTCGCAGACTAAACTCCACTATAACAGGACCTCAGAAATCTTTCCCACCTGCTTGTCACTGAGTATAGATTTCCTGTGCAACTTTGCTGACAAATGACCTTACTACTATTTAAGCACATTTTGCTACAGGGAGCTCAGCAACTAGGGCCATGGATGACCAGATTCTCTTCCGAGAAAGTGCCTCCAAATTATATCAACTCATTTCATCAAAGGAAAACATAGGATATTCACAAGATGATTACAATGTGGTAGTCTAAATATACTTTGGAAAGAGAGTACGTTTTCAGTAAGTCATTAAACAATGTGTAAATGACATCAGGTAATAAATGCAGCAAGATCTCAATAATTTGCACACAATAGTGAATGAATATAGTGAAATTTTAAATTGTTTTAAAGATTTGGGAGTTGCAAGGGCTATGATAAAGTACTTTTAAACTGCATGGGATTTACCTTAACTAACAGTAATTATCATTTGCAATTGGAAATAATAATTTGTTTCTTATATCACTTGTTTTTAGTAATTTTGATAAGCTACATTTGTAAAAATTTTGTGCATTTTAAACATTCCACTGAGTGCTGCATCAGGTTATAAATTGTTTTCTCCAAAGAAAAAACAAATTTCAGTTCAGCCCCTCCTGCTTAACAGTCTCAACTGCTGACGTTAGGTGTCCAAGAAGATAGTATCTTTCAAATATCTTTTCAGCAAAAATGTAAATGTCTAAAATAGTCTGTTGTTGTCATAAACTTATGGAAAGTAACACAAAACTTATTAGGAATCTCACAGATAGGAGCACTCTAGGAGCGCAGATAGGAAAAGGACTGTTTTTCATAGAAGGCTTTCTGGTACGTTAGAATTTAAAGCCATAAGGCTCTATTACCTACAAGAATAAAATTTCAGGTTAAGAAAACCACATTGTTTCCAGTAAAACCAGACCGTGGCATTATGGATTCCTGTTTTATTATCTCTAGTCTTAAAAAGCTAATTTAACTGCAATAAAATTATTGCCAGGTCAGGTAAACATAGCATGTGGCTGCCTTCCCAATAGGGATGCTCAGTGGCACGACAGGAAATACGGTTGGTGCCCTGCACAGGTCCCTTATATCTGCTGGCCCAACCCTCCCCCAGCAGCTGAGCATGAGGTGTACAGCTGTCACCTGTGACATTCTCTGGAGCCCCTGCTCTTGAGGTGGTGCCTAGAAGGGTGTGTTACCAACAACATGCTGCAAGTGGCTGAGGATGAATAAGTGAGTATATAAACCCTGATCCTTGTCTCCACACCAAGCATCACTGCAGTTCAATTTATGTGTAAGAAATCAAGGAGCCTTGCCCTAAACACACAACTTGTTTGCCTGCCTCCTTACCCTGGATTTTGATCTCCCTGACAGGCGCTTCCTAAGCACTTTCCTTGGATCCATCACAAGCACCTAGAACCAGTTCATGCTGGTTCCCTGGATCCAACTTGTCAGCCACTCATGGCTCCGAGTAAGAGTCCTCTCCTGTTAATAGAACACCCTTGTGTTAGAAGGACACACAGCCTTCCATTTAGAGGGAAGACCCTCAATCATCACATTCCTGTCTGCCCTCACCACCAGCTTAACACACAACCTATGAAAGCAGTGACAGAAACACACTGGCCCCCAGAACAGAGAGGATTCTCAAAACAGGACCCTGGGGGACCACACAATCATCCCTCTGCTTCCCCACGACATCTGTGCAGGAGGCAGGGTCAACCTTGGAAGGGACTCTTACACAAGCAGAGAGGTATCCAGTTATGTGCAGCAGAAAGTCAGAACATCTCAGTTCTACCACTTACTATATTTAGCAACTCTCAGCCTCAATTTTCTAATCTCC